TTATTTACTCTCTAAATATACAGAAAACCATTCAACACATCAAGAGTACCTCTTATTTAAAAAGTAAAAGATACATTAATCCATTGAATTATATTTCTTTGGTAATTAGATAAATTATTATAACTTAAGAATGGTAATAACTGAATATTTGGCTTCTTGTTAAGAAATATATAAATACTGACCTTCATTGTGAGAGTACATATATCATTATGTGGTAAATTTACCAAGTGCAATGCAAAACTTGATAAGGATGTGCAAAAGAAAATGTGAAATAGGAAAGTTTAGTCTAAACCTACATTTAGAATACACATACACATCTCAATTTTTAAGAGATTATACTTACTTTTCTCTCTTTTTTTTTTCGTTAAAATGCAAAATTTTATAGGAAGTAATAGAATACATTAAATTCCATAGTAACTTTTTGAAAAATCCCAGTAAACACATTTTCACTATTTACAGATCATTTTCTTTCTCATGAAGGAAGCTCTATTTTACAGAAGCTCTTATTAGGCCATGCTATTTTGACTAGAATATATGGTAGATTAGCTCCAGCCATATGAAAAAATTAACCACTATTGCTCAAAGCTGGTAAAAACTTTGTCTCTAGCTTCTTGGATCAGCTACCCCAAGCAAAGAAAATATAGTTAAATATAGTTTATTTTTGCTGTTTATGAAAAAAAAAATGTTGCTGTTCATGACAAAAGCCTTTTAGTGCCTTCTGTTTTGACATTGATTTCAGTGTAACTGAACATAATATGCATTGTAAACAATACTACACACACCTTTGTGGGGAGTTGGGACATCCCACACCAAACAGAACATGGGAAAAAAAAACATTAACTCTGTCTTGACTCTGTGGAGCCTCATCTGTAAACAACACATTTATATAAATTTTCTTCTCACCTAAAAACATAGATTTAAATTTCATGAAAACACACAGCAATTGGTCTAAACTATTATTAATTAACCTCAGCTTTGTAAACAGTAAAACCTATGGTACAAAACCAGTGGGTTATATTCTATCTACATCAGTATGGAGTAAATTTAATGGTTTGAGCAAAAATTTGGTTTCTTGAGTTAATGGTTACCAGAGCTACATGGTTGAACAATGAATTTTAATGGGAAGTTTAGGAGACCTAGGAACAAACCTCAGATCTGAAAAATCTTTTTGTAATTTCTTTAGATGTTCTTTTTATTCTTAAAAGTGGTTTTAAGTTAAATTATAACTGTTTGAAAGTTACAGAAATATGTTACTCTTTTGTCTGTAAAAAATAAACAAAAAGGCTATCTGAACATATTAATGAAAGTGTTAAGTAACTGACAAGCTAAGAGAGGCTCAGTTACTTACACACCCATTATATATATCACAGAAAACAAAATTACAGTTTACTATATGATGATACAGATATCTTATCAGGAATGCTACAGCAAGACAACTGTCACCAGTGTGAATGTGGTAATTGGACACAAATGTATAAAACTAAGAATTTCTTTAAGCCTTGTGAAAAAAAAGAAAATTTATGCTTAATTCTAATATTGATATACATATGTATACATTGTATTGATTTTTTCTGTTAGCTACTAATTTTATATTTTGAGTAAATGCTAAGTAATGCTAGGAATCTTCAACAAGGGACATTTCTTTGCATATTTATTTGAATTCAACTCCATATTTCAACAGTATCAGAAGGAGGAGGATGAAACAATGAACAAGGAGTCAATATCAGAAAAATCAATTTATTGTGTCAGCAATCAGTCCAGTTCCATGTTAACAGATGATGAGGATTTACAAGAACTGAGTCCTGGAAGTTGCAAATCCACTGGAACATGCAAAACCTTAAAATCTCCTGAAGCTCTAGCTATGAATGGAAATCAATCCATCTCACCTGCTTGGTCATTTACCATCCCTAAGAGATCTGGTATTAAGGAAGGCAGTAAGTAATTTTGTTGGGAGAGTGTTATTGGCAGACTGTGTCAACAGGGGAAAAAAATTGAAGTTTATGTTAGCCTTAGTTTTTGTTTCAGCTCTCTCTGTCTGTATATATGCACTTAATGCTCCTTTTTTTATTGATTTTGAAGTTTAGTAATATAAGAATATATATCAAATGTTTATTGGTCTAACTAGCATCTAAGACAAGAAGTATAGGAGGAATTACATTTTTATTATAACGTTACATATTTACTAAAACTATTTGATCTGAACTTTGAGTTTAGTAATCAAAAATATAACACACAGACAACATGGAACACATACATCACTCACTCCTAAGAAAAAATAAAACTTACCCTTTTATTTACGAAGTCACCGATTCTTCTCTTAAGCTTTTGTATGGTGTTAGTCTTCACCAGTGTTCTTTAGCAACTCTTCCATAATCTGATCATTCTTACAGAAAAATAAAGCTCGTAACTGGAGCCATGTCTGATTTTTCCAAATCTTAAACTTGTGTTCTTTTACCCTATTATTTTTAAAAATTAGCACAAAGAAATCAGAGGCTTTATCTTGTCAACCCCACAGATAATTTTGTAAGTTTAGATAAGATAAACTCTTGCCCTTCTATTAATTTAATTTCTCTTTCCATCCTCAGAATCATTTTAGTAACACTCTTCTAAACTCTTTCCAATAAGTAATATCCTATCTTAAATAAGAAGACCAAAACTGTACATAGTATTACAAGTGATGGTTGACTAATGATTTACATAAAGAGGTAACTATCTCTTTTGAGTTGTAATCAACAGGTCTGTCAATACACCCTAAAACATTATTAGCTTAACTGCTAACAACAGTGCACTACCTCTGTAGTTTGAGTGACTTATCCACCACTATGCCAAGATACTTTTCTTAGTTACATTATTGTTTCTTACCTGTGTTAAACATTAGATCAAAATTATGATAATCCATATGCATTATTTTGCAGTTTCTGTGATTAAAGGTGACTTGCCAAGTATTGATTCAATTTACCAATTGATCAAAGCTATTCTGTAGTACCTGTGAAATATACAGCATAAAACTTAATGGCATAATAACCTAGGCTGTATACAGAGGAATGAATACATTATATTAAAACAATTTTAAATATGCTTTTCAGAAAGTCACATGATAATCAAAGGTGATATACAAATGCCGATAAGGTACATTACCTTTTCTCACATAAATAGCTATTCTCATTCAGTGCTGCCCTCTATATACAAAATAAAATTTTGCATACCACAAGCCTTGAAGCTCCCACCCATCTTTGAATCGACCGATTCAAATACATCTCACATGCAAATCATCATGCGACAACCCTCCAACAATAAGAGTGTGACACACTCTCTTGATGCATGTGACTCCCTCTATTAAATTCTGCCCAACTATCATTTCTCGCTTGGCAGTACTTGTGTTTTAATGTTTAGTTTGTGCTTTCTACAATGTGTATTTTTATTATTTTCTGTATCTTTGGATTAATTTCTCTCAATATGTTTACTCTTTATTATACAATAGTGATATTTGTAACTTGTTGAGTTATCCCGAAATGGAATTATTTTATATTTCTACTTAGTTACAGAACTTATTACTTCATTACAAATACTGTTTATTTATTTCTGCCACCACAGTTGTGTTTAGTTATTCATTTTCCATTATGAATTCTACTTTACCACTTCAGAGGTTATATGTTCTATTTTTAAGGAAGTTAGAAAGAGTACTGTTAGGGCTAAAAGTGGTGAATTTAGTTATAATGAGCCTATTCTGTTGAGCAACAAATTTCATCCTTGGTTTCTGCATATGAGGAACTATTGGAGGGAAGGAAAACAAAAGGGTCAGAGAAGGATATGGATGATAAGGAGGTTATAGTTATAGGTGACTGTGGAAATGAAGTTATAAGTAGGTCATTAGGGCTAAATACCAGGCTTAGGTTAATATGTAAGGATGAGCAGATTGGCTGGTTGTACTTGTGGGATCAGTTCAGTGGGAGAAGAGAGCTTTTTGCAATGGATGGTTTACATTTAAGTAGAGTAGGGGCTGGATTCTCTGCTAAGGCTATTAACTCAGCTGTAATGGAAGTTTTAACCTAGGACTAGACAATGGTGAGGGCCAGGAAAAACTGAATGCAAAAAGAATAAGAGGCAGAGAAAAGTTTACCATAGCAAATGAGTATAGAAGTAGTTATAAAGATAGGCTTAATTGTTACTATTGTAATGCTAGAACTATAAGAAATAAAATAGATGAATTTAGGGCACTCATAGGAATGAAGGATTATGATATAATGGGAATAACTGAAACATGGTTAAACATAGATGATTTTGATGAGAGAAATTTTTTTAAATACAGGGTTACAGGCTATTTAATGAGGATAGAGTATTAAAGAGGGGAAGAGGAGTGGCTTTATATGTAAAATGTGAGTTACATCCTGTCGAAGTTGAGGATATCAAAGATAATAACAAAGAGATTGAATCCATTTGGGTTTCTATTAGTGGATATAAAGGGAAAAGGCTTTTAGTGGGAATTTATTACAGACCACCAAATGATACTGATGAAATTAGTGAGAAACTTTACAATGAGATTATGATTTTAGCTGTAAATGAAATAATAATTATAGGTGATTTTAATTTTAGGCATATAGATTGGGAAATTCTAGAATCAAACCATGAGGGAGAAAGGTTTTTGAAACTGTTCAGGATGGCTTTCTTCATCAGTTAGTTAAGGAACCAACTAGAAACAATGTTATTTTAGACTTATTGTTAACTTCAAATACAGAAATGATTGAGAGGGTGGAAATTGGGGAACATCTGGGTGAAAGTGATCATTGCTCTATTAGGTTCAATGTTTTGCTGCATATGGAGATAAGAAATAATGATATTTTGGTTACAATTTTCAAATTTTGAGGGGATGCGACAAGAGTTATCTGTTGTGAATTGGGCAGCTGAGTTATTTGGAGACACTGATCAGATGTGGAAAATGTTTAAAGATAAATTTTGGAAAGTCTGTTAAAAGATGCTTTACACAGTCATTTAACAAAGTTCAGAATTTTATTGGATAGTCAATATGGTTTTGCTAAAGGAAAATCTTGGTATACAAATCTTTTAACATTCTTTGAAAAGGTAACTGCTTATGTAGATGAGGGTAAGGGTGGAGATTTGGTGTATCTGGATTTTCAGAAAGCATTTGACAAAGTGCCACTTAAAAGGCTTGTAAAAAAATTAGCTCTATTGGTGTGGGATTAAGTTAGCAAATTGGATAGAAGAGTGGCTGGATGGAAGAAAGCAGAGGTTTGGTACAAATGGAGTTCAGTCAAACTGGATTAATGTCACAAGTGGGGTACCTCAGGGCTCAGTCTTAGGACCTTTCCTCTTTTTGATTTACATCAATGACATAAATGATGGGATAGTCAATAAATTACTTAAATATGCAGATGATATTAAGGTCTTTGGTGTTGCTAGCTGTGAAGAGGATGCTGCTGATTTACAAAAGGATTTAGATCATTTAGTGAGTTGGGCAAATAAATGGCAGATGGGTTTTAATTAAAATAAATGCAAGATAATGCATGTGGGTTATTATAATTTGAATAATAAGTATAATTTGGATAGGAATAACTTTAACAGTGTTATGAAGGAAAGAGATCTTAGTGTAATAGTCAATCAGTCTCTAAAGCCATCCAAGCAGTGTGCTGTCGCTAGTGGTAGGACAAATAGGGTTTTAGGTTGTATCTATAGAAATATTGAATACAAGTCTGAAGAGGTTATACTTTCATTGTACAGGTCACTGGTTAGGCCACATCTGAAATATTGTGTTCAGTCTTGGGCTCCTTACCTTAGGAAGGACACTGAATTGTTGGATAGGGTTCAGAGAAGGGTTACTAGAATGGTGCCTCGAATGGATGGGTTGTCATACGATGAGAGGCTGAAATCTCTCAAATTGTTTTCTCTTTTGTAAAGGGAATTGATAGTGTTGATGTATCATCTTTTTTTATATTTAACAATGAGAATAGTAAGACTAGGGGACACAAATATAAATTTGGGCAAGGTAGGAATCATCTTCAGCTAAGACAGTTTTATTTTTTTAACAGGAAGGTTGGCCTTTGGAATGGGTTGTCTTCAGATGTTGTAGAGGCAGTAAATTTAAGTGAGTTTAAGAAAAAGCTTGATAAGTATATATATGAAAAGGGCTGGGATTAAAATTTATTTTATTCTATTTTAATCATTTTAATTTATTTTTGAGGATGGACCAATAGGTCCCATGTTGTCCCAAAATATTATGTTATGAGCACATTTACACAGGCTTCAAGTGGCAGTACTCCACCGGAAGATTGTCAGCTTTACTTCATCGGATATTGATCATCCAATGAGCTGACCTTCATCGAGCTTTGCCTAAAGTTTAGGTGCCCACACATTTTGACATACAGTCCACTGACTTTGGACAGATATGACATTATACTGTTATGGTTTTGAATAATTTTATTTTTAATATTATTATCTGTAGTTATTTGGGTTCCATAACATAAGTTTTGTTAGATTGATCAATACTCATATTCAAGTTCAGGTTAGCAATTAGTCTCAGTTGTATCTTTTCTCCTATACCATTCACTTAGGCTTACCATGGTCTTTGTTATTTTAGGATTACCTGTAGTACATCTTACTGGTATATAAATCATTAGTTTAACTGTATTGTTTTTCTTCCATACATCATGTCTCATACATATGTTATTGTTACTACATACTTACTTAATTTTATATAATCATGTCTATTTTATTTTACCATTATTCCTATTCACTTGGTTTGTGTGGAACCTTGAGCTAGAGTCCACACAAACTTCTCCCAGTATTGTACATACTTATTGTTGGGTTAAGATTTTTATTATACTGCTTAGTGATATCCTTTGTTCTGTACTGTTTGATTAGACTTAACAAGTGTTTGTTATTTTGGGTTTACTTGTAGTTCTACTTCTGGGTTAATCAA